ATCTATCTATCTATCTATCTATCTATCTATCTATCTATCTATCTATCTATCAATCATCTATCTCTATCTAATCATCTATCTATATCTAATCCTCTGTCTGTCTGTCTATTTATCTCTATCTCTGTCTATCTCTGTCTATCGATTTATCTCTATTTGTCTGCCTGCCTGCCTGCTTCTTTCTTTTCACACACACACACACACACACCCATTCATCCACCTATCTATATCTATCTGTCTGTCTGTCTGTCTGTCTGTCTGTCTGTCTATCTATCTATCTATCTATCTATCTATCTATCTATCTATCTATCTAATCATCTATCTCTATCTAATTATCTATCTATCTATCTATCTATCTATCTATCTATCTATCCATCCATCCATCCATCCATCCATCCATCCATCCATCCATCCATCCAATTCAGTATTTTACAACCGGTAAAATTACTGGTGTGCAACGTTAGAACAATTTGAACGCTTCACTGTACAGGGGACAGGTTGTCCTTACATGACAAACCTCTGATGTTCTCAGCCAAGCTGACGGAAAAAAACAACACCTGTCTTTAGAGTACGTTTGTCCTGAGCAATGAATTATGCCGGAATTTTAAATCTCATATTTTACACTTTTGTCTTATTTTTAGGGGAGGATTATAAATAGCCTTGGGCCAAAGAGCCAGGCCAGGGTTAACTGGCCCGTAAAGACTTCTGTTTCAGGCCAGATTCCTGTTTGAGACCTGAGTCCTCTGTTATTGCTGCTGTCTAGAAGTGATGGGTTTAATCAAACCAGGACTGGCCCTGATATCCATTAGCATCTTCGTCTCCAGTGGCCTAGCCTGCAGTTTTCTCCCATCGGGGTGTCTAAACTGTGGTTAAAAAAAAGAGCTTCACTCCTTGTAACATGTTTGAACAAGATTTTGGTGGTGGTGGGATCAGTCTTGGGCTGGAAGGAAGCATCTCACGCTGGATGTTCAGAAACCTTTTGCTATTTTCCCCCCAGGTTTTAGATAACATTTCGATCTCTCGTGTTATTTTAAACTCTTCACCCCAAGATTACTTTAAAACTTACGGTACAATGTCTGTATCACTCCCAAATTCTGGTTTGGGGCAAAGGTGGTTAAAAGGGAGACTTGGGAGAACTTTTGTGCAAAGTTGGCTTGTTTAACTTTGCAAACCCAGACAGGATCATCATCTAACTTTGCTCTGGGTGGCCTGATGTGTCCTCTTACCTTGGAATAGGCTTTTCCTCCTTTCAGTTCCTGCCACAAAAGAAAGAGAAAGTCAGTTTACAAAGAAGGACTTAAGAGAAATGCAAGTTCTTTTACAAATGAGGGTCCCCCCCAAAAAAGGGGGATGCTGTTTTGTTTTATTTTTTGGCATTTGGAGGGAAATTTTTAAGGATTTCTTAGAAGTTTGGGCAGGAGGGTCAATCTTTCCAGGAAGAAAATAAGACAACCTCCTCGCCCTGCTAGCGCAGAGCTGCCAGAAAGCAAGAACAGTTAAGACAAAAGGGGCGACTTGGGAGTAAGGCTTGGAGATGATTGGTCCCTCCCATAAGACATAAAGGAGAAGCAAAAGGACACGAGCCTTTGCAGGAAGCAACTTTGTTCATTCTGGTCGGTTTAAACTCTGAAGGTCTGTTTTGACTTTGTGCTCCGTTTGGCCTTGGCAATTTAGTTGTTGGCAGCATTTCAAGGGAGATAAAGGTGGGTGCTTATCAGCCTTATCCTGAAAGACTCTGGCAGACTTCTGTTGGACTATTCATAAACAGTTTGGGACTCATTACGGGCTGTGAATGCATATAATTCACAGCCATTGAAATAATAAAAACAAGGTTTTTGGGAACAGCATGTGATTGTTACTGTCTCAGGAAGCCTTGGTCAGAACAAGCCTACATTTGTCACACTAAGCCAGTTAAGTTCTAGTTAAGCCACAGGAGCAAAGGCAGCTATGTTTAAAAGGCTCCTAAGAACCACTTCAAAGGAGGAGCAATCTCAAGTCCATTGTAGGGAAGTTCTTGAGATGTTGAGTTCACCTTTTGAAGGCCTGGTAAATGTGCTGCTTTTAATTATGGATTCTTTAGAAGATCTTGGATTCAATGTGCAAGGCCATAGCTTGGTGGAAGCCAAGGCTCTTAATTCATGGGCCAAGCCAGCCATATGGGAACTGAAGTCTTGCATGGATCTCCAGAACGCCGATACTCCATCAGTCCACAAGCAGAAGAACCCAAAGGTTGACCTAAGGCCCATATCTCAATGAGCCAGCACAGCCATATGGGAACTGAAGTCTCGTATGGAGCTCAGGGAGACCGATACTCCATCAGTCCAAGGCCCATAACTCATGAGCCTGCCCAGCCATATGGGAACTGAAGTTTCGAATGGATTCACAGCCGTTGAAATAATAAAAAAATAAGGTTTTTGGGAACAGTGTGCAATTGTTACTGTCTCGGGAAGTCTTGGTCAGAACAAACTCACTTTGCGGACCGAGACTCGGCAAATGCAGGGGTCCAGGAGTCCTGTGGTGGGATTGGCACTCATTTTGCAGATGAAGGTAAATTTCTTCTTCCAGCGGACACAGTTCTCCAGTTCTCCTGAACTGGGGGGGGGGGGGGGGGGAAGGGAGACAAAAACAAAGAGATGCAAACTGGCTCCAGCTTCATCTGAATGTTTGAATCTTGGGAAGAAATGCAAGGATCCTTCTTGGAAGGACAGACAGTGTCGTACATAAGTAGCCCTCAAAGTATGACAACAACCGAGCCCTAAATTTTCCATTGCTAAAGCGAGGGAGTCATTAAGTGAGTTTTTTGAACCGTTTTATGGCCTTTCCTGTCGCAAGTTGTCCGGGGGAATTGCTGCAGTTGTTTGGTTAGTAATGCAGCTGTGAAGTGAGGAGGTACAACTGTGATAAACACATGAGAGCTGCAGGCGTCCCCATGCAACCATGGGGATGCTACAACGGTCGTAAGTGTGAAAAACGGTCATATGTCACTTTATTCAGTGTTTTTGTCGCTTCAGTCACGAAATGAACTGTTGTAATTCGACCTGTGTCTGTATATAGTAATTCTTGTCAATCTACTGCTCTTCAGAGCACGTACTTCGAAATAACACCCATTTTCCCCGCCTCCTGTTAGCTCAGGCCAAACCATGTTCTGGAACGGCTCATTTCGCACCGTTATTTCCTTGAGTGTTTTGCTGAAAAAGCAAAGTGGGGGGAAAAAAACCCCTCCAACTGCCCACATCAAGGAAAAGATGCAGCTGGCCAAGGAGGAAAATGGTCAAATCGGAGAGGAGGAGACTTATAGAAGCTTTAAGTGGGGTTGGATCAGATAAGAAAGAAAGAAAGAAAGAAAGAAAGAAAGAAAGAAAGAAAGAAAG